GTAATGTATACAGAACGAGAGAGCGTGTTGTATCGGGTGATAAAGATCCGAGCCGAAGGCGAGGATCTTTAGCCCCGATACAACACGCTCTCGAGTTCTGTATACGGCTTATCAAACTTTATAATAATTCTCATTTTAATGTTTTTGAAAAATTGAATATCTTGCTGCATTTCATCGATTTAAAATGATCACCGTATGTCGCCGTTATTAAATATTCGTCAACTGTTTGTATGGCGCCATTGTTTCATGAAACGACTGAACTATCAAGGGAATTTCTAAATGATTAATTGAAAGTGGAATTGAAGCTTTTTATACTTACTCCTGAAAATTGTTTATTTTCCTTTTTTTTATCTTTTTTTTTGGCATTTTTTTTTATTTGTAATATCTTTATTTTATATCAATATTAGATTTTACAAAAAGTAGTTACATAACTGAGAAAAAACAAAAAAGAAAACAAAACAAATGAAAAAACGAAAGAAAAGAAATATACATAAAGGAGGAGGGATAAATATACATAACAAAAATTTTATCTTATCCAGAAACATGAGGGAGAAGTTTGTTCCATTTTTCGTAATGATATAAGAGTCTATTGTTTTTTGATGCTATCCTGTATTCAATATTGTAAGTGTACTTAATTTTTAGTGTAAATAAAGAAATAGATGGATATATTTTAGACAGGCTGCACTTATATATGTAGTATTTAGTATAACTTCTCTTACTAATTTCAAAACAAAATTGAAGCAGTATCTTTGTCAATAGTTTTGCACTATTTCACCTTTTTTCTCCATGATATGTAATTGTAATGAGTTTATGTAATGTAATGTAATGTATTGAATATGTCTTGTAAATTGTTTGCAGGCCCCCATTTAAACCAGCCTACGCTGAATTGGGTGGCCTGTTGAAATATTGCTCATAAATAAATAAATTAATTAATTAATTAATTAATAAAGGATATAATCGTCTTCTTGATCTAAGATACCAAGSATAATATCCATTTCACACGAAACTCTCATTTTTATTTCAAAAGTTGATAGCCAAGAAATTACTGCTTTCCAAAAATCGTTTGTAACTTTACATGTTACTAGTAAGTGYTCTAGGGTTTCAATTTGCTTATCACAGAAAGAACACATAGCGGTGTCAGATTTTCCAATTTTRTATAATAAGTTATTTGTGAAAACTATGTTATGAAGTATCTTAAATTGAAACTCGCGAGTTTTACTATCCAAACAACATTTGGCTGGAAGAGTATAAAAAGTGGACCATTGAGTTTCGTTTTGAAATTTGCTTTGATAGAAAGATTTCGCAGTGGGGTCAGTAACTTTCTGTTCAACGAGATTCCAGTTCCAGATTCGAGAGCTCACCAAGGCGGTAACTAAAGTTAAGGGATTCGACTAGTAAACAACCAACAATTGGCCAAAAACATTTATAAAATTCAGCAGAAATTCCATCATTTCCTGGGGTTTTATTGTCTTTGAAAGTATTTAGGGTTTCGAAACATTCCATCAAAGTCAGTTCACCCTCACATTTTTGTTTTAGCTCCTCTGAGAGTTGAGGTGTGTTACTGTTTACAAAAAGATTTTCATAAAAACTAGATATACATTCAGTGTTTTCTTGATACAGATTTGAGTAGAAACTTTCAATGCCTTGTAAGATATCCTGCGGGTGAGTAGTATA